CCCCCCCCCGGGGTTACCTGATAGTGAAAGTCATCCTTTAGTACCATCAAACCTTTCTCTTTAATATATTGTAAATTACAAAAAAAAAATTTAGTGCAAAATAAACTATTGAATTGAATAATAATATTATATGCCATTTGTAGACTCTCATATTTTAGTTTGCCCCAAGAACATACAGTACAGGAACCGAGTAAAGTACCATCCACTTCCAACTCATTAATCGCGAGTGGCGAGTGAAAATAAGGCATAATGAGTTTCTCCAAAACAATGACACTCGCTTTGACTTGTTGCTCGCCACTTGCTAGCCTTACGAGTGTAGTATTAAATCAATATGCCATACAAGACATCGAAATAGCAAACTGTATTCAACATGTGTTTGCTACAAAACTAGTTTGAGTTGATTTCACGTCCGTGAGCGGCAGTAATCTTTCGTGATAAAATTTCTAGACCAGTGCCGATTGTGTATTACGTACATGTTGAAGGAAAGAAAAGCGTATTTATTCGAATCTATCTAGCTTATGAGAAACACTTGATATAGCTAAGYGTATAGAACATTAGAGCTTGTATTAAGCCCATTGAGGGGACTGGCTCACAAGGCTATTTGTACCAACTGGTTGTGTGACTCTACCAATTTTAAATTGACAAGTTTTATCAAAATGAAAATCAGAAACGAAAAGAGCACCTACTGTAATTCTCCATATTAGTAAGAAGGCAATTTTCCAGCTTATTTTGTCAACCATGAGGAGAAAAGACATTAAATGAAAAATCCGATATTTTATATCTTTAGGATTTATTTTGGGAAATTGGCATGCAATCACGCTTGCTTGTTCAATGAATTTAGGTACTCCATGACATCTTAAATGGTATTCCAACCAATTAGAGCACAGTTTAGGATTCATATTAAAGGTTTTATTAAACTTCATTATACATCTCGAACAAACAATTATCTAACACACTTCTTATACATATCTTTCTCACAAGCACAACTATTACAAACATTAGATATAGAAATATAGATAAGTTATAGTGCTTGGGAATGAGGTTATTCCGGGCAAAAGACCCTTGGAAATAAATTCGGAAAAATTAATTTCCGACTTCGCTGGGAAACGAACCCACGACCTTCAGAATTGTACTACCGGCTGAGCTAGAGGTCAGACTGAGAGCAGGCCGGGGTGAAATAAATGTTGGTTCGCAGTAATTATGATGCAAAGACGAGAATATGTAGACCCCGTAGCACTTATGAAATACAAGGTATAGAAATATAGATAAGTTATATATAGTGCTTGGGAACGAGGTTATTCCGGGCGAAAGACCCTTGGAAATAAATTCAGAAAAATTAATTTCCGAATTTACATTCGTTAATTATACAAGCATGTATCGAATCAAAAACAGTGAGTTTTTTTAAGAATTAAGAATTTCTTAAAGAAATTTTCTAAAATTTTGTTGTAATGGCTGGCTTAGGGTTAGGTACTGGATAATAAGGCAGAAATGGCACATATTTTGCAAACTCACATTGTGAAACTCGACTCAGACAGAAAGGAAGATTGTAGATATCATGGTCAAAGCTCTCTCCATCGTCATCATCCTCCTTCTGTTTCTTCCAGGCAAGCATTCCTCTCTCCTCTTTTGTTCCAGGAACAGTGTTATCAAAAATGCACCCAAAAAGACCAGCCACAAACATGTTGGTGGTCAGGAGAACAATGATAATCTGGTCAAGCTCTTTGCTACCTACATAGGAATTTTTAAAAATGAATCAATAAAATATTTTGTAAAGTTCAGGGTTCGTAGTCCTTTCAGATCTATGAAATATCTGCTATTAAAAAATAGTATTTTTGATGCCAAAATGTACATTTCAAAACTGTCTCGTTTATTACTCAAGTGATAAGCATAGTAATTTTACATAAACATTCAACAAAACCTTCACAAACTTAACTTTTGAATAGCTGTAGTCATTTCTAATTAATATGTACATAGTAAGGACATCCATGTCTGTAAGAATAAGTTTTGGCTTCAAGCATCAATAAAAGTGCCTTGTCAAATCTTTAAACTCACCTGTTTGAATGGCGGTCTTGTTCTTCTCAACCCAGTAAGGCACAGCCATTCCAAGCATCAAAGAGAAGCCCAACACAAAGAGATTCCTTGAGGAGTTCATGTCGACAAACTGCAGGTTTGATATTCCCACAGCTGTGATCATACCAAACATGACCATGAAGACTCCTCCCACTATGGGGTCTGGAATTGTCGTGAAAAGTGCTCCAAATTTGCCAAATAAACCCAGCAACAACATAAGCAAAGCTGCAACTTGTATCACTCGCCTACTCCCAACCTAAATAGACAGGGCACAATGAAAATTTTAACCCACTGAGGTTAATAGAAAGGAGATCTAGAACAAGATGGCATGGTAATGATACTCATGCCTCTGGCCGATGGTGTTCATCACATGAATAGAGTTTGTTAGGTGTATTCCTTGATTCAAAGGTTTTTGTCCCCCAGCAAAACATTTTAAATTCCAATTTGATCTGTGAGTTCAGACATGGCCTGTCTAATATCAGCCCAGCTAGAGATTGTTTCAGCATATCGACAAATTTTAAGGAATTTTAATGTGAAATGGTAAGAGTACATTATCATTAAATACCTTAGTGATTCCAATGGCACCAATATTCTCACTGTAAGATGTTGTACCATTGCCACTGCCCCAGGCACCTGCAAGTAGACAACCTACCCCCTCCATTCCAATGCCACGGTTAACAGCATGAGTAGGTGGAGGTGGTGCTCCACTGAGCCGTGCACAGGCAAAGTAGTCACCAATGGACTCAATCATAGAGGCAAGGACTCCAGCCAGCATGCCAAATATTCCTGCAAGACTTACTGTGGGAGTGCCCCATTGACCTAATGGTAACARTGATAAGAAGGTCACATTGAGCTAACTTAATATAATGGAGATTTGGGTGGAGATATTACTGGTCAAATGTACGCATGGAGAGCTGCTCACCACCAAAAGCTAACTGCATGCAGATGACAGCTGGTATTTTTGTAATATTCGTTACTGGTAGATGTACAATACTGTCTTTCCTTTTCACACTGGAACTGAAGATGACTTCAGCTCAGGTTGTGGAAACGTCCGTCACCAACAAAAACAGTCTTTATCGAGACTTCACTCAACCAGACAAATACCTTTTGGTTGTTTTTAAAATTACAGTAAGTATAGTCACTGCACTTGCCTGGATAAGGGAATCGAAACCAATCAGCTTGCTGCAGCACTGAGATTCTTGCATCTGTTCTGGCTTTGGAACCCTTTGGAAATCCATCTGCAGCTGTGATGATCACACATACAATCCAAGAGATTATAATCGCAAGGATAATCTAAAAAATAGGAAAAATGAGCGGGATAAATTATGTACTCAAAAATAGTCTGAAAAGAGAAAAGGGGATACATTATTTTTGGTTTTCAGACGTCATTCCCAAGAGACATGGCAGCCATATTGGTGGTATTTACAAAGGATTCTAATGAGAAAGTTTAACACCAACAACATGGCAGCTATTGGCGACATAAGGTTCAAAGGAAGAGTCGATGGCTCACAGTACATTCAGTCCAAGAGTCTAATAATTTTACTTACTGGAAAAAGTCTGAAGACAGCAAACTTCTTCCTGGAACATCCACTATTTCTTTGGTAAACAAATACAGGCACTTCAAAGCCTCTGAGGTACTGGGAGAAGAGGATGATGAGTACCATAGTCCTGTAACAACCAGATAATAATAATTTATATTTACTATGATTAAATAATAACCACTAAAGATATATTTCATATTCAAATGATTTATGTATCAGCAGAGAAGACAGCAATCTTAGAATCAAGACAACATTATGTAATTTCAACCTTAAAGGTTTATTCCAAGACACGTTTCAACTTTGCTCATGCCATTGTCAGAGCGTAGGAGTATAGAATAAGAGGGCCTTTAATTTTCAAATATTCAAATGATTCAATCTGAAATGACTAGACTAAAGCTCTTAAAATTACAGATTGATGTAGCATTTTCCAGAAAGGACCAAGTACTATACAATTTGCAATGTACTTACAAAACTGATATCCCCCAATGTGTACCTAGAAAAGAAAAAAATAATAGCTTTTATTTATGTGGAATGATTTATAGGAAAAAAATATCTTGAATAATTAAAATGTAGCTAAATGTAATTCAGGCAAAGTTAGAATTGATGCCTGCTGTGAAAGGTTCAGTTTGCTGGTGCGGGATGTATGTCTCCTTGCTTGATAACACAGTATGTTAATTAAAATGAAAATGAAAACCTTGATATCTGTAACCTATATCCAGAAGAAGCAGAAGCACTTCAATGCAAGGCTATGTAGGAAAAAGATGTATCATCCAAGACAAGATGACTGACACATGAGAAAGATCCATATTGAGCAACAAATACTGTAAAGTATCAAAATTCTTTGATCTAAGCATCACAGCAAGATATCAGCCAAAGTAAGCATTCAATACATACCAGAGAAGTCAGCAGCAGCTTTAAATAGAGCCAGACCCACCAACGTCACTGTAGGTGCAATTGTAAGAGGACCAATAAACCGGAGCAAGAATCCAATTAGACCAGTAAACCCAATAATTATCTGGAAGAGAGAGGCTACCATGATGGCACCCTGAATC